GCAGCTCTAGAGAAGTTATTATTAGGGCTATCAAGCAACTAAAAAATTTAATTATGATTAATCACGTGTGCCTCCCCTGGCAGCGCTGCATGGAGCCTGGGATCAGTTGGAATCCCGAGCTGATCCTAGACTCCGTGCAGCGCTGTCCCTTGGAAGTGCTACAGCAGCGTTTCCAAGAGGCAGCACATTAGGAGCCTGGGATAAGCTGGGGACTCCAGCAGATCCCCGGCTCTGCTGTTGCAAAGCCCCTTTGAAACGCCAGAGCAGCACTTCAAAGGGGCTTTGCACCGTGGAGCCAGGGATCAGCTGGGCAGTCCAGCTGATCCCCCCACATCGCATTGCAAAGCCCCTTTGCAGTGCCACTCCAGCGCTTGGAAGGAGCTTTGCAATACCGGAGCCAGGGATCAGTTGGAATCTCCATCTTATCCCTGGCTCCTAATGCATTGCCCCCTTTAAAGTGCCAAAACAGCACTCCAAAGGCGCTTTGCAATAGCGGAGTCGGGGATCAGCTTGGGACTCCAGCTGATCCCCGGTTCCGCTTGCTCTGCCACTTTGAAGCACTGGAGCGGCACTTCAAAGGGGCAGCGCAGCATTAACGCCTGCAATTAACGCATTTAAAAAATTAATGCATTAATCCTGTCCTGCGTTAATCACAGGCGTTAACGCAAGTCAATTGACAACCCCAGTTATTATTCCCCTTTAATCGCCACTAGTGAAGCCATGTCTGGAGTATTGCGTCCAGTTCTGGGAACTCCACTATAGAAAGAATGTGGACATACTGGAGAGGATACAGTGGAGGGCAAACAATGATTAGGGGGCTGGAGCACGACATATGAGGAAATGCTGAGGGATTTGGGCTTATTTAGTTTCCAGAAGAGAAGTGTGAGGAGAGTTTCCTAGCAGCCTCCAACTTCCTGAAGGGAGGTTCCAAACAGGAAGGAGACAGGCTTCAGTAGCGAGGGATGGCAGAACAAGGAGCAATGGTCTCAAATTACAGTAGGGAAGGTCTAGGCTGGATATTAGGAAAAACTATTTCACTAGGAGGGTAGTAAAGTATTGCAATGGGTTACTTAGGGAGGTGGTGGCATCTCCATTCATAGGGGTTTTTAAGTCCCGGCTTGACAAAGCGCTGGTTGGATGGTTTAGTCGGTTGGACTAGATCATTTTTAAGTAAGTTGAATAGGACTGGTCCTAGGACAGACCCTTGAGGGATCCAACTGGTTACGTCTCTCCACTCGGAAAACTTACCTTTTATTCCTACCCTTTCTTTCCTGTCTTACAACCACTTATCAGTACATGAAAGAACCTTCCCTCTTATCCCATTACAACTTACTCGACTTAAGAGCCTTTGGCGAGGGACCTTGTCAAAGGCTTTCTGGAAATTTAAGTACACTATATCTACTGGATCCCCCTTGTCCACATGTTTGTTGACCCCCTTAGAGAACTCTAGTAGATTAGTAAGGCTTGATTTCCCATTAGAAACCATGTTGACTTTTCCCCAACAAATTATGTTCATCTGTGTGTCTGACAATTTTATTCTTTACTATAGTTTCGACTAATTTGCCCACAACTGACGTTAGATTTACCTGTCTGTAATTGCCAGGATCACATCTAGAGCCCCTTTTAAATATAGGCATCGTGTTAGCTATCTTCCAGTCATTAGGTACAGAAGCTGATTTAAAGGATAGGTTACAAACCACAGTTAATAGTTCCACAATTTCACATTTGAGTTCTTTCAGAACTCTTGGGTGAATGCCATCTGGTCCTGGTGACTTGTTACTGTTAAGTTTTATCAATTTGTTCCAAAATCTCTTCTAATGACACCTCAATCTGGGACAATTCCTCAGCTTTGTCACCTAAAAAGAATGGTTCAGGTTTGGGCATCTCCCTAACATCCTCAGCCATTAAGACCGAAGAAAATAATTCATTTAGTTTCTCCGCAATGACTTTATTGTCTTTGAGTACTCCTTTAGCATTTCAATTGTCCAAGGGCCCCACTGGTTGCTTAGCAAGATTGCAGCTTCTGATGTACTTAAACATTTTGCCATTACTTTAGATTTTTTGGCTAGCTGTTCTTCAAACTCCTTTTTGGCTCTCATTATATATTTACACTTAATTTAATGCTACTTTCTATTTTCTCATTAGGATTTGACTTCCACTTTTTAAAAAGATGTCCTATTATCTGTCACACCTTCTTTTAGTTGGTTAAGTCAAGCCCCAGTAGCACTTTTTTTGTTTTCTTACTGTGTTTTTTTAATTTGTGTATACATTTAAGTTGGGCTTCTAGTATGGTGTCTTTGAAAAGTTTCCAGGCAGCTTGCACAGATTTTACTTTTGTCACTATACCTTTTAATTTCTGTTTAACTAACCTCCTCCTTTTTGTCTAGTTCCCCTTTCTGAAATTATATGCCATAGTGTTGGGCTGCTGAGGTGTTTTTCCCTCCACAGGGATGTTAAATTTTATTACATTATGGTTGCTATTTCCCAGCTGTACAGTTATATTTACCTCTTGGACCAGATCCTGCTCTCCACTAAAGACTAAATCAAGAAACTAGCTGCTCCTAGAAGCAGTCATTTAAGGGATCAAGAAATGTTATCTCTGAATCCTGTCCTGAGGTGAGGTGTACCTCATCAATATGGGGATAGTTGGATTCCCTTCTACTGTTGAGTTTTTTTATTTTGATAGCCTCTCCAAGTCCCTCAGCATTTCGTCACTATCACAGTCCTCATCAGGTGGTCGATAATAAATCCCCACTACTATATTCTTATTATTGGAGCATGGAATTACTACCAATAGAGATTCTATGGAACATTGTTGTTCTTTTAAAATGTTAACTTCATTTTCTTTCACATATATTGCCAGCACGACCTGTTCTGTCCTACCAATATATTTTGTACCCTGATATGTATTTTGCACCCTGGTTTGACTGTGTCCCATTGATTGTCCTCATTCCACCAAGTTTCTGATGCTTATTAGATCAATACCATCCTTTAATATACGGCACTCTAGTTACCCATCTTATTATTTAGACTTCTAGCGTTTGTGAACAAGCACTTAAATTTGTCACTATTTATCTGTCTGCCATTTCATGATGTGTTAGACTTTTTCATTTGATTGTATCTCATCTGATCTGACCCATACTTCCATCTTCTCCTCTTTACTAGAGCATAGAGAATCTCTATTAATAAACCCTCTCCTAAGAGATGTTTCTATCCGATCCATGTGCTCCTCCACACCTGTTGGCTTTCCTCCAGCCCTTAGTTTAAAAACTGCTCTACAACCTTTTTAATGTTAAGCCAGCAGTCTGGTTCCATTTTGGTTTAGGTGGACCCCATCTTTCCCATACAGATTCCCGCATCCCAAAAGTTTTCCCAGTTCCTATAAAATCTAAACCCCTCCTCTCTACACCATCACTTCATCCACATGTTAAGACTGAAGCTCTGACTGCCTAACTGACCCTGCATGTGGAACTGGAAGCATTTCAGTGAATGCTACCATAGAGGTCCTGGATTTCAATCTCTTTTCTAGCAGCCTAAATTTGGCCTCAAGAACTTCTCTCATACCCTTCCCTGTGTCTTTGGTACCTACATGTACCACTACCACTGGCTCCTCTCCAGTACTACACACAAGTCTATCTAGATCTCTTAGATTCGCAACTTTTGCAACAGGAAGGCAAGTCACCATACGGTTCTCCCAGTTACGGCAAAATCAGCTGTCAGTAATCCTAATGATCTAATCGCCCATAATACCTGCCTTTTCCTAATGACTGGAGTTCTCTCCCCGAAGAAGTATCCTCAATGTGAGAGGATATCACAACATCATCTGGAAAGAGGGTCCCAACTATGGGATGGAACATACTATTAAATATTTTTTGTTGTAGCCATCGAAGGTCATTTCTAAATACCAAATGTGAGGAACCTCTGGCCTGTGGTCCAGATTCGGACCCCAGCTTAATTTTAAATGGCCTGTGGCAAGTCTCTGTGTCACAGGCTGGAAGCCCTGACCTTGGCGCCCCATCCCACCACCCATACGGACTAGAGCTGTGAGCAACGGTTTGCGGCCATCAGGGAAGGTCCATATGCTGTCCTTGACTGCAGGTACTGCCCCCACAGTTCCCATTAGTAGGAAACTGCAAGAGCAGCACCTGCAGGTGAGGACAGTGCATGGAGCTACCTGTCCCTACCTCTGCCAAAGGACTGCAGGGATATGCCAGCCACTTCCAGGAGCAGCACAGAGACTACTTTAGTTCTTCTGTGCTATCAACTAGGAGCTGCCTGAGGTCAGTGCCCTGCACGCACCCCTTTCTGCACTCCAGTTCCTTGCCCCCGCCCTGAGCCTCTTCCTGCAACACTCAACCCCCTCATCCCCTGCCCTACCCCAGAGCCCACAATGCCCTGCTGTGAGCCCATTCCTGCACTCTAAACCCCTTGGCCCCAGCCCGGAGCCTCCTCTTGCAGCCCAAACCCCTTATCACCGGTCCAGAGTGCACAACCCCAGTCAGAGCCCTAACCCCCTCCCACAACTAAACTCTCTGAACCTCTTCTCCATCCCACATCCAGAACCCCTCATTCTTGACCCCTCATCAGAGTCTAAGGGAAGCCTTGAGCCTTTACCCACATACACAATCATCTCCTCATGGGGCTGTGTGGTCTGCAATTGATATTTTCTGGAGGTCAGTTCCCTGCTACTACTATATGCAACAGATTCATCAACGATTTTTTCTACAGTAACATCAAGGATACTTTTGTGATGCTAATTATAAGTAAAGATAGGCTTGAATCAAAACCACCCCGAATTTTAAAGATTATAAGGAAGCAAGGAGTTTGGAATCCAGATCAAGATTCAGAATTTGTGCTGTCCCCTATAGCTACCAACACACTACTACCACTATTCTGTGGCTTGCCCCAAACTCAGATCTTTTAAGTTTAAGGATAACAACTATTCATTCCCTGAAGTTTTTCAGGGGGCAAAATTGGTATAGATGTATATAATATGAAATACAGAACAATTCTAAATTTTCGCTAAGTAACTAAGCCTTAAAAACAGCTTGTTATGCTGATAAAAAGAACTTACAATATTTGAAAACTTTAAAAAAATATTTTTTTATATTGCTGGGTTTTATTTTTCTTCTAAATTGGTATAGATCTCCAACTGATTTTTAATGGGCAATTGGCTATATTTTGTACTCTACTGTATGCTTTAGTCAAATTCCTACCACTTATCCACACTAGGGATGTTAAAATGCAGATATTTGTGTAAACATGTAACCACTGAAAAATTCAGCAGTTAATGGTTACATGCATCCACAGCCAGTGCACACTGCTCCCAGGAAGTCAGATGCCCCCCACAATGCTGCCTCTAACAGAGGGGCAGCAGGCAGCTCCCCAGGAACTGGTGTGCGCTGTGAGCCAGCTTTTGAAGCTGGCTCCCCATGCACAACAACTTTTAAGATGGCTCCTGCCTACAGGAGTTGGCCATCATGGGGAGTTGGCTGTCATCCCCATACTGTTGCTTCTGATACAGAGGCAGCCGCATGGGGTGGCAGATGGTTTCCCAGGAGTGGGGTAGGAACCGGCATATAACTAGGAACATTAACAGGTAAGCCCAGACTTACTGGTTAACCATTTAAATGGTTATAAACACACAGGGTTTGGCTCTTTGAAAGAAATTAAATAACTGTGAAATATCCATGCAAAGTTAAAGTTAACTTGATTTCTGAGAATAGAAGGATTATCTATTTACCTTGCTGTATCTGAGGGTGTGATGTATAACTTGGAGGATGTGAATATGGCATGTATCCTGCAGGGCTTTGAGGAGCATATGGACTAGGCACTGGACTGTTCTGTTGTGCCATAAATCTGTTACCAGAACTTGTCTGTGGTGGCACAAACCGGCTAAAAACAAAACACAAATACACGTTAAGAAATCCAACACAGCAACTTATTTCTTACACTTATTTTAAAAAATATTACAAGACCAGTCAAATAATTCAGTGGGATTAAGAAACTCCTTTAAAAATAACATCTCTCTCAAAACTGCACATTTTCTGATCCATTATTTCTTAAGAGCTACAGTATATTATATTGCATTAATCAAAACTAACAGGGAGAAAAAAAATCCATTCATAAGAACTCTACCTAGAAAAAGTAAATAGCTGCTTAATGTCCAAACTAGATATTACAGAAAAATATAATTTATACTTTCAAAGCTTACTCATAGCTTACTAAAAACCTGAATGAAAATCAAAACTAAAGTTTAATTTTTCACATGATAAGTAGCTTAATTAACACTGCCAATTAAGTCATATCCTCCTAGACCTCATGGCATCTGGAGTGAAGCTTTGGCAATTCATATTAAAGCAGTTCAGTTTTCTACTGACATCTCTTTATATAGTTTGTGATGACTTTCTATAGCTTCGTTAGAAAATGTTTTATAGAGCCTAAGGAGCAAATATGAGCTCTTCGAACAAAATTAGTGAAGAAGTTTGATAAACTAACCTGAAAATTCACTCTTTTTTAAATTAAAAGTAATAAAATCGCACTTCTGTTTCACAATACACCAAAAATTATTCTTTGAACATTGCCTGACTGCCAACATTTTAGCCTCAAAAAAAGGAAGAAAAAAGTTAACAAAAATAAGAGGTTTTATCTGCTTGAGAAAACAAGCAAGAAATCTTCTGGATACACTTCTAATGAAATGACAGTTCAGTATCAACAAAAGTATTAATGAAAATGAACTAAGATATGTCCCTCTCTCCCTCACCACCTTTCCCTAGCTTACAAGGAGACTACAAATAGGAACAATAGCCGAATAGAGTGTGTAGTTCATTAAAATGAAGAGCTTTAAGATATTTGAGCCTCGATAAACCAAAGAGCTTGATTTATTCTAAAAGATCACAATCTGGTTCCATGTGTCTGTAGGGTATTTTTATCAAATTATATGAGTGTTTTCTACGACTGAAAACTACCAGAGGCCAGGCAGAAGTCACTAACTCCTGTGTAATCAAAGAAAACCAAAACAAGAGCCAAGTGAACTTTGGGAGAGCAGAGGATATTCTAATTAGTGATCACATTAAAATTAACAGGAATTCAGTGTGGTCACTGAAAAGTAAAAAAATCCTTGAGAGGGCGTTTTGATTTGTAATTGTTTAATTTAGCGTACACGTACACACACACACACACACACACACACACACACACACACGAGAATACACAGAGTAATTTCATAACTTTGTTTCTCTGTCAAGACTATAAAGAAGAATATTACCTGAACAAAGAGGACCTGACTCAAAGCCCACTGAATTTAATGAACCTTGGATCAGCCCGACACATAGGACATAAATAAAGTACCGTATATACTCGAGTATAAGCCGACCCAAATATAAGCCGAGGCACCTAATTTTACCACAAAGAACTGGGAAAAAATATTGACTCGAGTATAAGCCGACCCAAATATAAGCCGAGGCACCTAATTTTACCACAAAGAACTGGGAAAAAATATTGACTCGAGTATAAGCCGACCCAAATATAAGCCGAGGCACCTAATTTTACCACAAAGAACTGGGAAAAAATATTGACTCGAGTATAAGCCGACCCAAATATAAGCCGAGGCACCTAATTTTACCACAAAGAACTGGGAAAAAATATTGACTCGAGTATAAGCCGACCCAAATATAAGCCGAGGCACCTAATTTTACCACAAAGAACTGGGAAAAAATATTGACTCGAGTATAAGCCGACCCAAATATAAGCCGAGGCACCTAATTTTACCACAAAGAACTGGGAAAAAATATTGACTCGAGTATAAGCCGACCCAAATATAAGCCGAGGCACCTAATTTTACCACAAAGAACTGGGAAAAAATATTGACTCGAGTATAAGCCGACCCAAATATAAGCCGAGGCACCTAATTTTACCACAAAGAACTGGGAAAAAATATTGACTCGAGTATAAGCCGACCCAAATATAAGCCGAGGCACCTAATTTTACCACAAAGAACTGGGAAAAAATATTGACTCGAGTATAAGCTGAGGGGGGCATTTTTCAGCACAAAAAATGTGCTGAAAAACTCGGCTTATCCTCGAGTATATACGGTAATAGGGAAAAGGTGATGCAGGCAGCATACATTCTCTTTATAGGGCTAATCCAAGATTTATTAAACTAAATTGTTTTTGGATTAGGAATGTTAAATATCGGTTAATTGAACAGTCCATTAACCCCATGAATTCTTATCAGTTACTCAACTATTCCATAGCCCCTGAGGGTGGGGCCAGAAGCCAATGTGCTCCAAACCCACTAGCAAGGAGCCCCCCTGCCACTCTACCCAATTTAAAGCCAGCTCCCCTTGTGGACCCACAGCCTTTCACCCATGCTGCTGCCTCTGTTACAGAAGCAGCAGTGCAAGGTGGCAGCAGCCCCTGTCTGGGGGCGGGGTAGAGGGAAGAAGGGAGGGAAGCTAGAACTAAGCCAGGTTGCCTGCCCACCCAGCTCCTAATACTGGCATACTTCTAACACCTTATTGCAGAGCCGCAGCAGCGGTAGGTCCCAGACTCAGTCCAAACCAGGACTGAGCCGGACTGATGGCCAGCCTGCTAAAAAATGTACTGGCAGCCGAGGTAGGAAGGGGGAAGAGAAAATGTGTAGTCTATAGCATTAACTGATTCGCTTTTACTTGTGGGTTAATTGACTACACTATTACATCCCTACTTTGGATCAGGTCCTCTTTGTTTGGGTAATACACTTCTCTATTTTGGCAGCAAATCTGCAACAGACATGCCATTTCCAAAAAACTCAACATTCAGCCATGGAAATTGTTCTTGGGTAATACAAAGAATGGAATAATTATGGAATAGAGAATCTGCTTTGTAAATAATTTTTGATAGTGGTTATACGCTACAAAATTCAGAATATTTTTCTTGAAGATGTGTGTTCTTTATTGGATAAACAATCCCAATTTCTGACTTAATTTAAGTAATTCAGTCATGACTCTTCCCTCTTCCTCCAAAATATTGATGTCTCATTTTACAATGGTAACAACCAATTGGTGATTATAAACTTAACAAAATACAATGCATAATATTTTTTTGAATGGAACAAATACAAAGAAATTGCTTGAAATAAAACTTAAAGTTACAACAAAGATTGAAACAGTGTGAACAGGGAAACAGAAAGTACATTTTAAAATAACTTTTTTTTTTAAAAACACATTCTTCCTTCCAGTACTTTCACTTTTTAAATTTGCCATTGGTCTCGCCATCTTTGTGAGGACTGCTTTTTATTTTTATTTTTGAAAGCTAGCTTCTTTTAGGTGTGCAGCTCAAAATAACACACACAGAAAAGGGCTTTACAAAGTTGTTACAAGGTGTTTTGTTTTTTTAACTTGTAGACAATGGTATATGTAGTCTTACATTAAAAATATTAAACATGCCATCACTGACTCAGAATTTTACACAATTTTCTTTAAAACAGATTTATTATACTATAGCATTAAGGAATAAGATCAATGAAGAAAACAAACATTTTGCAAAACCAAAATATTTTCAGAGATGGGTTTTGGGTGATGAGTTAGGTTTTGTTTTGATTTGTAGGTTTAGGGGACAGGGGGATTGCAATACACAAAATCTAGAAAGTTTTCCTCAACACCACTCCAAAAACTAAGAAAAATCTCGAAGGGCTGAACAATTTTATTTGCCAAGTTTCATTAAATTATATAAATGCATTATGCAATGTGCAAAACAAAGGAGCTTAACAAAGCTATCTATATTTTCTTAGTTATAAACCAAGGGTGTCAAGCATACAACTCAGATGCTGGAATAGTATGCAGAACACTTTCGCATCAAGCCCCATCCAAAATTAACAAAGCTATACAGACTATAGCTGCCTTATTTATGATGCAGCTCAAAGGAGCAGTTGGAGGCAGAGCTGAGAATGACTAGTCTGTCTGGCTGGCCTCAAGTACTTGAGCCCATCCTCTTCTTAACAGTCTTCTGTACAGTTGCTCTCACAGTGCCTCACTGGACAGGCTCAAGTAAGGCCTCCTTCCTGTCCCCTTTATCCCAATTCTTCTGCTGTTGCCAAACCTGCAGTAATGTGTCTCTTATCTCTCCCCCACTTCTGCCCCAGTCTCTCTTATAACCACTGCCAATCTCCCAATATAAGTGGGGGAGATAATGCACAAAGGAGGATTCCCAAACTGAGGTAGAAGAATGGAAAATTCACCAACAATTGAGGGAGAGGTGATTGGTCATATAGGTAGGATTGCCAGGTATCCGGTTTTGAACAGGACAGTCCGGTATTTGAGCTTTCTGTCCGGGAAACAAATTGAGAAAATACCGGACATATAAATGTCCAGGATTTTCTAATTAAGTTTTTATTATTATCATGAGTATCACTACGTAGCTGCGTACTGCCTGGCTGGTAGACACGCTGCGCGAGGGGGGGACAGGGCCAGGGCAGGATGGAATCCCCGGGCCGGACTCGCTCGTGCTTCGCTGGGACCGTGTGTCTCCCAGCCAGGCAGCATGCAACTACACAGTAGAGGGCAGGATGGAATCCCCGGGGCCAGACTAGCCCGTGCGCAGGACGGGCAGCATCCTGGGACCTGTGTACGCCTGGTCTCTGCCAGCCAGATCCCCCCTCGCCAGCCCCGCTCCCCCTAACGCCCTCCTGACCAGCACTGCTCCGTGTCGGCCGGTTTCCGCCCCTCCCCTCCACCAGCCCTACTTCCCGGCAGCTAGTTCTCCCTAGGCCAGCCCCACTCCCCCTGACCCCTCCTGGTCAGCCCCACTCTCCTCCCCCTCTCCAATCCCCTCCCACCTGGTAACCCTACATATGGGAATTAATGAACAAAAGGACAAGAAGTGTCCTATATGCATCTACCTTCTTTATTGAGTACATTACATATCATATTTGACTGTACTAGCTCAAGAGTCTTGCTCTGTGGTTGGACAAGAATACATTTGTCTCCCAACAGTGACATTTTTATTTCCAACCCACAGCGCCCAACAAATTTGGCCACCACTGAAGAATGAGTTTGACCCTCCTTTACTGCAGACACAATATTACCTGGAAGGGCTATGTGAGATAGTGGTTTGTTGATAATTGGAAGATGCAGGACTACCATGCATGGAATTCTGGGAAAGTTTGTACTGTGGCAACATCATTCCTGTTTAAAAAAATTAAAAAAATCAGTTACCATATATACTTGTAGCACATTTTCTTATCTGAGGAACAACTTTTTATAGTAAAATAAAGTGTCCACCAACCACATTTATATGCTGTACCTAAAATTTAACTAGAAAAAATATTCACACACTCATCTCCATTTACTATGCATATTTCATATTCATGATATATGCTCATAAATGTATGTATTAGATTATACACAACATTTTCATAAGAAGCAGATTTAGATCAGTAATGCATGTCAAAGATAATTTCATATATTTATTATTTCCCTTCCCCCCCCCCCCCCCCCCTCAATCTTCCCTATTCAGTTTGTGTATTTTATAACAGGGAACCTAGCTTACATACCACACTTGAGTCAAACAATACAATAATTAATCTGTAATTAAAACAGTACTACTTACAGTAACAAGAAAAACACTTCTCAACTATTAAACTGAGTGAATAAGATGGGTTTAAAGCCATATCAAAAAGAAATTATTGTTCTCCAAAAGTATTTCTCTGACATCACAGATAAATATGGCTTCACAGTAACAGCCATGAAAATGAACTACTAATAATCCAGTGGCCTACAGCATGCATCCAGATACAATATTGTTTATTTATCCAATATAATTAGAGGGTTTTGTGCTTTCCAGAAAGCATCATATAATCAAACCAGAAACATTTTTTTAAACTAGTTTAATACTGCATACACCCATGCAGTAATTTAAAAAAAAAAATCCACCTTGTAGAAGAATGAATTGCAATAGCCTTCAGGGCAAAACACACTATCCTCAAAGGAATCAATTCCCAAATAGTAGGAAAAGGGGGTGGGGTTGGGGAGAGAGGAGGGTAGGAGTGGAAAAAAAGCTGACCTGAAAGGAAAGCAAGTGAAGGCGGGAAATAATTATAAAAATAGGCCAAACTTGTACCACAGTTTACACTATATCTTTGAGGGACACCATTAGATCTCGTACCTCCTTCAACAGGCTGCCCCCCAGAATAAAAATCTATTTCTCAAGCTAGTCCTGACTCAGTCTTAACACACTACAAATTGAACCTCTCTAGTCTGGTACACTCAGGATCTAACAGGTACCGAACCAGAGAATTTGCCAAACTATAGGAGGTCAATATTGTAGCAAGTGGGTCTCTTTTTATTTTGCTGAGGCAAATAAATGGAAAAATGTTTCAGTGCTGCTTAATAATATATGACTCTACTGATACACCCTATAAAAGCCTATGCCTAGTCAAGGCTTAACAACTCTCTTAACTGTTAATGCTGTCACAGAATTGTGTTGTATTGTATTGTCACAAGGAAATAAGTAGATAAATCATAAAAACCACACTAGAGCTTAGCGGCATTACCAACACTTCCACTGCTTGCTGGGCTCTTACATGAAATTTAGGGGTAAATAACAGCACAGAACCCTGAGAGCCAGGAAAGGGAATTACTCACCTCGTGCAGTAACGAGTGTTCTTCGAGATGTGTGTCCCCATGGGTGCTCCACTCTAGATGAAGGGTCGCCCTGAGCCACAGATCGGAGCTTTGTATAGCTGTTTCCCCTGTTGAGCCACGCATGCCCAGGAGGCATCTCGAGCCCTTCCCGCCTCCTGAGGAGCGCGGCTCAACCCCCTCCCTTTCAGTTCCTCGTCTCCGCCCGAGAATTTCGACTCCGAGCAGAGGGGAGGTAGGGAGAGTCGTGGAGCACCCACGGGGACACACATCTCAAAGAACACTCGTTACTGCACAAGGTGAGTAACTCCCTTTTCTTCTTCGAGTAGTGTCCCCGTGGGTGCTCCACTCTAGGTGACTACAAAGCAGTATTCAATGTAAGGCTGGAGGGAGCCGGAGTCATTGTTTGGCAGTTGTAGAGAGCACTGCTGTGGCAACTGCTGAATCACTCGAGTTGTGGAAGAATAGCGTAGTGTTTAGCAAAAGTATGGTCTGAAGACCATCTTGCTGCCCAGTAAATGTCTCTTAAGGAGACGTTGCCCAGAAAGGCTGTAGAGGCAGCCGTGGCTCAGGTGGAATGCGCTCATGGTAGGCGCTGTAGCGGTCTATTGCCTAGAGAGTGGCACTTGATTATACATGTCGAAATCCACTTTGAGATTCGTTGCGATGATATTGGTGCCCCTTTTGATCGTTCAGCGATGGAAATAAAAAGTCTTTCAGATTTACGAAATGGTTGTGTTCTTTCTAGGAAGAAGGCCAGAGCCCTCCGGATGTCCAGAGTATGCAGGGTGACATCTCACTGGGAAGAGTGTGGTTTCGGGAAAAAGTTAAGTAATACGATCTGTTCGTTGACGTGGAATTCCGTACAGACCTTAGGCAGGAACGTCGGGTGGGGTCTAAGTATGACCCAATCCTTTATGAAAACTGTGTAAGGGGGTTCCGACATTAGTGCTGCAAGTTCACTCACCCTTCTGACGGAGGAGGTGGCTAAGAGGAAACAGACTTTCATAAAAAGGAAAGGAAGTGGTATTGTTGCCAATGGTTCAAAAGGAGGTCTGGTGAGGTAGTCCAAAACGAGATTTAGGTCCCACAAGGGGGGTGGGGCCTTATATGGTGGGTACACATTTTGGAGTCCCTTGAGGAACCTCTTCGTGATAGGATGGTTAAAAATGGAGTATTTATCCTCGTCCACCGAGGTATGAAATGCTGCTATTGCAGAGAGACGTACTCTTAGAGAGGAAATTGACAGTCCTGATGCTTTAAGGTCCATAATGTAATCTAGTATGGTATTCAGTGGAGAGACAAGGGGTTCCACTTTGGCTCGTTGACACCAGTGAGAGAATAGTACCCATTTCTGCTGGTAGGTTTTTCGCATGGATTGCATCCTGCTATGGAGGAGGATGTCTTTTACTTGCTGTGAGCAGCAGTCTTCTATCTCGGAGAGCCAGAAAGAAGCCTCGCCTGAAGATGCAGGGTACGGAGTTGGGGATGTAGTATCCTGCCATTGTCCTGAGATAATAGGTCTATCCAGTATGGTAGTGGATAGGGAGGCTGGACCACTAGCTTGTGAAGGGTACCAGGTTTGGCGAGACCATGATGGGGCAATCAGGATGACTAGGGCTTTGTCTCTCAGGATTTCGTGTAGGACTCTTGGGATGAGAGGTATGGGGGGAAAGGCGTAATGTAGGGGGGCTGCCCATTTGATTAGGAAGGCATCCCCCAGAGAGTGCTTGCCAAGTCCCGCACATGAGCGGAATTGGGGACATTTGGTATTCTGGGCCGAAGCAAAGAGCTCTATAGATGGCCGTCCCCACTGGTGGAAAACTGAGTTTGTGACCTCCGTGTGTAGTTCCCATTCATGGTCTAAGGTGAAGTTTCGACTGAGGGAGTCCGCTCTGGTATTGTTCACCCCTGGCAAGTAGGATGCTCTGAGGGTGACGTGGTTGCGGATGCACGCGTTCCAGAGGCAAATAGCTTCCGCGCATAGGGAGCGGGCTCCGCCCTGTCTGTTTATATAGAACATCGTGCAAATATTGTCCGTTAGGATGTGAACTGTATGATTGGAGATGTCGGAAGCAAAGTGCGCGCATGCATTCCTTACTGCTCTTAATTCGAGAAGGTTGATGTGCAGGAGTGTCTCATTTGGGGACTACCTGCCCTGAACTTCGCGGCTGTCCATATGTGCTCCCCAGCCGAAGGAGGGAAGCATCCGTGGTAATTTGGACAGTGGGTTCAGTTTGTTGGAATGGGACCCCTGCCAGAAGATTGTTTGGCACGGTCCACCATCATAGGGATGCAAGCACGTTTGGTGGGATAGTAATCCTCTTGCTTCGAGGGTGCCGTGATGGGATGTAAACGGTTGCCATCCAGAGCTGGAAGCATCAAAAGTGTAGGTGAGCATGGCGGACTACGTAGGTGGTGGAAGCCATGTGTCCCATTAGTCAGAGGCATGTAAGTACTGTGGTAGTAGGCATTGTGAGCATCCCGGTTATAATTTCCTGTATAGTTGCGAAATGTTGCCGAGGTAGGTATGCTCGGGTTATAACGGAGTCCAGTCGTGCGCCAATGAACTCTATATCTTGGATAGGGTGCAGCGTTGATTTGTCTTTGTTGATCAGGAGGCCTAGACGATTGAGGAGGGCCGCAGTCGTATGAATCATAGAGATGGTTTCGGCGTATGAGGATCCCTTTAGAAGGCAGTCGTCCAGGTAGGGGAATATGATAACGTTCTGCTGTCTGAGGTACGCAGCTACAACAGCTAGTATCTTCGAGAATACCCTCAGAGCTGATGAGAGGCCGAAGGGAAGAACCTTGTATTGGAAGCGGTCTGGACCGAGCACAAAGCGTAGGTAGCATCTGTTTGAGGGGAGGATGGTTATATGGAAATAGGCATCTTGGAGGTCGAGGGCTGCGAACCAGTCCCCTTGATCTAGCGCAGGAATGATTGCGGAGAGAGTGACCATCTTGAAACGCTGTTTCTTGAGAAATTTGTTCAGTTTGCAGAGATCCAATATAGGTCTCCAATCCCCTGTTCTTTTCTCAGTCAAGAAATACTTCGAGTAAAACCCTCTCCTGTGGAACTCTCGGGGTACACTTTCTATAGCTCCGATGATGAGGAGCAGATTGATTTCTTGTTTTAGAAGGGTTTCGTGAGAGTGGTCCCTGAAAAGGGACGGGGTAGGGGGAAGGATGGGGGGATAGAAATCAAAGGGATGGTATAGCTCACTCAAATTATCTCTAGGACCCAGCGGTACGATGTTATGGATTCCCACTGTGGGAGGAAGGCGCGCAAGCGGTGGTTGAATAGATGGCCATGTTGAGGTGCTGCTAGATCGTGAGGGAGGTCTTGCAGGCCCTCGACCAAATGTTCAAATTTGCTGCTTAGATGGTTGGGTAGTCAGTGGGCGGGCTTGGTTGGGTCGCCTTCTGGGACCTCGCTGTCTTGGTCTGGTGTCTTCATAAGGTCTCTGTGGTCGATTGTATTGTCCATACTGGTATCGATTATATGAATTATATGGGGTGTATCGCCTGCGTTTATAGGGTGG